ATAGTTTGCACAGTTTTTCTTTTAATTTTTATCAGCATACATATCTTTATAGCATCAAATATCATTTTGTAATGCCTGGCTAACTCTAATGCCTCATTCAATGTTTGGATCTGCATTCATTATGAAGTCACAAGCATCTTCTACTTTTGCAATTAACGCTGACAGTTCATCCAATGTGAATTCTTTTGTGGACATGGCATTTTCTCCTACCTGATTTTCCTCTGTCTCTTCACACAAATCCTGCTGATCCACTTCCACAAGTGTTGCACCATCAATGTCATCAGAATGCAAGTCAATGCACTAACGCACATTTTCACAATGCAAAACTTCTAATATGGAATGATCTTTCCCAAGCACACAACGTTTTCACCAAGTTTCAATATGGGATTAAAAACAGGAAAAATAATTGGAACTATACGGTAAGAGAAATTACCAAACGGCTATCATGTAGCCTGCAATTACTTAAAGCCATGATTCACGTATGTTTTCAAGTGCATTTTCGATAGTGTAACCTTCCCAAAAATTCGTTGAAACTCATGGAATTTTCTCCCATTGTTACTTTTATGGCTTGCACAAAGGCACATCTTAAATAATAGGCCTTAAATGTAACAATGGCACCTTGATCCACTGGCTGCAATAATGATGTAGCATTCAGTGGCAGGAAAATTACATTGACTTTTTCATTCAAGGCAGAAAGAGAAGTAGAATGACCTGGTGCATTGTTCAATAACAAAATTTTAAAATCCATGTCATTATCTTTGCAATAACATTCAACTGCAGGGAAAAAGTAATTTGTAAAGCAATCTTCAAATAACTCACCATATTTGGGTTTCTTCTTGGTCTTCAACTTATACATATTATAAGCATTCCCACCTAATAAAAGCATTAAACAGTCTTTAGAGACTTTATATCCTGCTTGTGTGATTCTTTTTCCACCAAGTAAGTGTGTGATGGCAACTTCCTCCAAAACAAACTCATTTCATCAACATTAAAAATTTGTTCATCTTTGTAGCCATTTTTTCAATCAATTTTTTTTTTAGATCATTAGGAAATCTTGCAGTTACTTCATTGTCTGCACTGGCACTTTGACCAGTAGTAATTCGAACATTACAGAGTCCCATGTGCTTTTTTGAAGTTGTAAAACCAGCCACGACTTGCCAAAAAACTGAACCTCCACACCTGTAACAGATTCAATAAGAGGTAAAGTACATACTAGGTTCAGAGACTGGAAAAGGAAAATTCTGGGGGAGGATATGGGATGGAGGGGTTAAAGGAGATCTGAACTTTGGTGATGTTTTAGACTTTGGAGAAGTAGGGATGCAAGGTGATGGTGTAGTTGTAGGAGGTTGTGAAGACAGCACATGCGAGCAAGAAGATGAAGACATAAGGATAGTGGGAGTCGAAAAGGTAGGGACCTCGGAGCCCAGGGCCGCAAAAGTTAGACACAGAGGTGGCTGTGGAAGTTGGGACGACAGAGGAGATTGAGGAAGTAGATACCACAGAGGATGGAGGTCGTAGAGTAACTCTAGAACAAGAAAGCAGTGGATGTCCCCCTCAGCGGCAGAGACAGGAGACTGCCATGGCCTAAGAGAAACCTTTCTCTCTGAGACAGATACATAATTTCTTGTTCCTTTAAGAAAACTTAGCAACAGCAAGAATAAGCCGGGTGAGCCTCATTACAATTAAGGCAAGAGGGACGTCAGCTGCAGGATGCATTATTATGGTCAGCTGCACCACAGACTGGGCATTCTGCCATGGACCTGCAATACAGTGGACCCCCGGTTAACGAACTTTTTTCATTCCAGTAGTATGTTCAGGTGCCAGTACTGACCGAATTTTTTCCCATAAGGAATATTGTGAAGTAGATTAGTCCATTTCAGACCCCCAAACATACACATACAAACGCACTTACATAAATACACTTACATAATTGGTCGCATGTGGAGGTGATCGTTAAGCGGGGGTCCACTGTATTTTGCTAGGTGGTTGAAATGCCAGTAAATGATGTCCTGCAATATATACAGAAGACAGAGGCTCACAGCAGTCAAGAGTTAACCGAGCTATATTGCAGGGAAAGGATCTCCACCTTCAGGCAGGTAGCACATAAGTGTCCACTTTAAGGATTGGGAGGTCTTGGAGCTCTAGTTGTTCCAAAATGTCACCATCACATGTTCAGAAATTATGTTGAACAATTTCACGTAGAAGAACTACAGTTCACCTGCACAAACTGAGAGAAGTGTTTATGAATAGTGACTGGAGTATCATCAGTGGAGACTTTTGTCATGTTCACCAAATTGTTACAGTCCTTTGTACAAACAAGTATCATGCTAAAATAAACTTGTTATTGTTAAGGGGGAGAGAGTGTGAGCCTTGTCACATTTTGTACAATGACAATGTGTGCACCACTCTTAACAGCAAGAAATTAAATATTTTGACCAACATGGTATAGGAGTGCCTTGCTGATACTATGATCAGAAAGATAATCAGATGGAGATGTCGGTTGTAGAGTGAAAAACTTAGTCCATTGTGTACCATAAAATGTAGAGCGTAAGGGAAGTAAGTGTCATGCTGGTCTTTCTCTGGAAAGGGCAAGAGGTAACCAAGACAGCGTCATCTGTTAATGGTCATTTAGGTGTGGGACTGGAGCCACGTGGAGTTCTGAGATGGGCGGGTGATTTGAAAATTGTTGCACTGTATGGGGGAGAAGCCAGAAGCATGGTCAAAGATGTGCAGAGATTGGACATATCTAAAGTCTGGCAGAACATCAGTACCAAAGGCAGGCAATGAAATGTTACTTGCAGAAGGTACTGAGGTGTGAGAGAGGTCTGAAGAATGGTCTAATAACAAGGCAGGGTCATGAGAAGGTGCCACAGGGGGTTTGTGAGGAGGCATTTCATGGGAATGGGGTGTCCTGGTTAGGTCTTTTTTTTGTTGTTTAAAGAAAAGAGGGGGTATGTGGAGGGATAGCACCTAGAAGGAATGAAAGGGATTGTATATCCCCCTCCATGTCGCCAGTAGTGCAGATGCAGCAGGGGAACCCATGCCCTACCCTACCGTTCAGCCTGTAAACCGGTGATCCAGGAAACAGCAACCCATATCTACCAAGCCACCTTGGCAGACAAAAGAGAGGCATCACAAAACTGCCACGAGGCATACCTCCTTCAGCCATCACCTCCCAGAACTGACAAGCAGCCTCCAGAGATGTACCTGTCACCCAAAGGACTTCTAAATCACCCCTGGAACTCCGGGGGGAGGTCGGGACGTCCCCAGAATCATCCAGATTCCACGGCAAATTACACCACTGTCGTGGGGGGTTGTGAGAAGATACTGGAGTAAGAAAATACACACGTGGATGTCTTAGAGATGTACTGTTTGCAAAGACATAAAAAAAAAAAATAAATAAATATTAGAAGTCTTAAGGAGAAACCAGGAGCCCGCTATCGAGTCTAATCCTACCCAAAAGAGACTGCCAGTGACTGAGGATGAACACTCTGGCCTACAGCTCACATGTGAGGATCTTGTGAGTCACAGCTAGCAAGGGACCTATCTATAAAGTAGCTGGGATTAAATTTAAGTATACAACACAGTAAAACATAACACAACTGACAGCTCAGCGATGCTAAAGTATGGCATCCCAAAATTTCAGCTAACTTAACACACTAAAGACTGTAGGCATAACTATAGACTGTAGGGATAAAGAACTATACATAAGGATGATAATTGACTGTAATTCATTATGAATTATGATACATCACAAAACAAATTTTAAATGATAGAATCAATGGTGGTACAGATTAACAAAAGAGATCAACAGAGAGAAAGAAAGATCGATCAGTCTGAAATTTTATGTGATCTACAGATTCTAAGAAAGTATATTTTTCAAAGGAGAAAGTGTATAACAGAAAAGGCAGATTAGTGTACACAAGTCTTTTACTGTTAATTCTCAGAATTCAGAGGGAAATGTGAACACATAAAAAAAATATTTTAACATCATTAAGTTTACAAGCAGACACCCCAGTAAAAACTACTGACACTACCACCAAGGGCCTCAATGAAATTGGAGGACAAAGACACCCTTACCCCAACCTAAGTAGAATTTCAGAGGGGAAAAACCCCCAAAGGCCAAAAGCAGAAAGACAGAAAGGGAGAGATGGGAGGAAAGGAGGTATAGGAAGGATGGGGTAGGGAAGAGAGGATGGGGGGATAATAAGGTTCAGTCAGAGGAAGAAGACCAAAAGGTCCAATTCTTCAGACCAAAAGCCTATTCACCACAACAAGAAGCCCCCCTAGAAGATGTTTTAAACTGTTGTCTGGCACCATAATGGGTAATCATTTGTAGAATCATTTTGTTGAGTTATTATTAGCTTTAAGTGATGTGTTGTAGTGGATCACAAGGCACAGATCAAAGGTGAGGTATGGATAATTACAGAGTAGTACAGACTAAGTAGTGCTGTTTGAGGTATATAGTAAATGATCTTAGATGGGATGCCTACTGATTTGGAGACATTCGTTATGTGCTGGATGTGGGTGTTCAATTTCAAGTTGCTGTCAAACAGACCTAATAATTTTCTCTGGTTTTGTCTTAAACATAAGAACTGTTAATCATTATATTTAATAAATAACAAAAAGGCACAATACCGTGACTGGAACGATACACAAATAACCCGCACATAAAAGACAGAAGCTTACGACGACGTTTCGGTCCGACTTGGACCATTGACAAAGTCAAGTCGTAAGCTTCTGTCTTTTATGTGCGGGTTATTTGTGAATCATTATATTTAGCTGGACATTTACAGCTCTTCCCGACATCATGAAGAAGGTCTTGTCAACATTGACCGAGCGAGTTTATTGGTAGTCATCAAGTAGCTATCTTTATGAGTGCCTCATTAACTGTGTTATTGTTACTGTTTTCATTTTATTTTTGTTGTTTATGTACTGTACAGTATATGTTTTGACCAGGAAAAGCTACAATCAAATAAACATTTCAGCAGAGTACTTACTTCTAATTTGGCCTCAAGCTTGTTTATATCATCTGTTGCTGTGTTTAATTTCTCCAGTTCAATCTGCAATATAATAGGCCAACACTGTAAGTAAACCTTTCCTTTAATTATATAAAATAAAAGACTATGAATTAGTCCTCTCTATGTAAGAACTACACTAAAGCGCGTAGCACTCCGACCTTGATTTCCTCCATTTGAAAGCATGTAAAAAGACGTAGATCTATGTTCGGAGCGATACACAAGCAAACGTAGATCTACGTTGGGACAGTTTAAGGATTAATATTTATTCAGAAAAATAAAAAAGCTGCATCTCATAACCTAACATTTTCTCACTTTGGATATTTCCCGAGCCTGACACAGTCTTTATGGCTGAGAACCTTCGTGTTTTTTATATGGACTTGATGAAGTCCAGTACAGTGGACCCCCGCATAACGATTACCTCAGAATGCGACCAATTATGTAAGTGTATTTATGTAAGTGCGTTTGTACGTGTATGTTTGGGAGTCTGAAATGGACTAATCTACTTCACAATATTTCTTATGGGAACAAATTCGGTCAGTAATGGCACCTGTACATACTTCAGGAGTGAAAAAATATCGTTAACCGGGGGTCCACTGTACTTGATGAAACGTCGTACTAAAGGCTTCTTGTACTCACAGAAATCTAACACATTTCTATAACAAGAGATACGATTTCTTAATTACATGAGCATTAGCAATAATGGTAAAAATAATAAATTAATAATACTGCAGTACTATTCTAGGATAAAATTGGCTATCAGATGATACAAATTCAGAAAAAGTACAGTGGAATCTCGGTATTCGTTTGTCCTGGTTTTCATCAAATTCGGTTTTTGATGACTTTTGTGGTCAATATTTTGTCTCAGTATTCGTTCATCACCTCGGTTTTCATTGAGTTGGCAGTGGTCCTCCATACCGAACATGTCCAACCGTGCCCTCACAAAGCATCCCACACGCTCCGAGTCAGTCTGGCTTTGTTTCTCGTCGGTAGAGGGTTGTAGTGATGGTGGTAGAGGGTGGTAGAGATGGTGGTAGAGATGGTGGTAGAGGGTGGTAGTGATGGTGGTAGAGGGTGGTAGTGATGGTGGTAGAGGGTGGTAGTGATGATGGTAGAGGGTGGTAGTGATGATGGTAGAGGGTGATAGTGATGGTGGTAGAGGGTGGTAGTGATGGTGGTAGTGACTGTGGTAGAGGGTGGTAGTGATGGTGGTAGAGATAAACTCTCCTCTCTCTCCCCTCCTCGCCATCTTCCATACGCCAACAAGTCTTCAATAAAGGTAAAAGTGATGTTAAATATTCATTTATCCATTTCAGTAGTCCTTTATATTTATTTCTCATTGTTTTCTGTATGTAAAACTAGTCATTCTCTGTAAAATGTATTTTTTGTTAATACTTTTGGGTGTCTGGAATGGATTAATTGGATTTACATTATTTCTTATGGGAAATATTGCTTCAATATTCATTGAATTTGGTTTTTGTCAGACTTTCTGGAGCGAATTAATGATGAAAACCAAGGTTCCACTGTATTGTTCTAATATACTACATAAGGAGCTATAACAATTTGGAAAACAGGTAATACAAATTAGTAAGCCACTATAATGGTTTATTCTGTGGTTACAGAAAATTATCTTTTGCTGTGCTTTTAACCCTTTGACTGTCGAAGGGCCAAATCCTGAAGTTGCTTCTGGTGTCGCAAAATATTCGAAAAAAAAAAAATTATTTTTTCTTATGAAATGATAGAGAATCTTTTCCCGATTGTAAAGACACCAAAAAAACGAAATTTGATGGAAAACTGACGGAATTACGCTCTCGCGAAGTTAGCGACTTCGGCGATATTTAAAAATCGGCAATTTCGCCCACTTTGAGCCCTATTTTCGGCTAATTCCGTTATTCCAGTCAACCAAACTCATAACTATTTCTTCAGAACTCTATTTTTTCTATCGATTGAGTACAAGAAACTGCCCATTTACCGATTTCAACTACCCAATAACATGGTCAGAAATTTGCAATTTGGCCAATTTCACGAAAATTAAAAAATATGACAATTTCAAAATAAGGTCCAGAATGAACAATGCAGACATTCCTGGCTCTAAAATAACATTTTCTTTGTTCATCAATCATGTCTCCAGGCCTCTGTGATATTACTCTTGCTTTTTATTTTGAAATTTTATTCAAACAAAAAATAGAAGATTTACTGTTATGCAGACTACCGCAATACTGTAATAATTGTAAAAATTACATCAACCCATTCATGACTGCATATTAGAATGGCTATTTGGACATTTATTGGACAATGACATCATTTGTTCACTTTTGAACATCGGCAAAAATCAAACATTTCCTGTACTTTGTGCTCCATTTCCAGGTTCTTTTTATAGTAAAATTAATCAAAATCACATCCATTTCTATAATATAGTTTCCATTCTATCAAATGAGACCAAGAAAACGAGAATACAACCACAAATACTATACGAAAATAGACCACAAAGTCGGCATTTTAATTAAAAAAAACGGTCGGAGTTTTTTTTTTCTCATTATGCACTGCGTGCTCCAGGATTTTTTTTATGTGGTGCACACTGACCACACAGACCCATTCTCTCACATGTGGGCCTACTAGCTTTCTCCTGCCTGATTTGAAGCCGCTAGAATTTATGAGTATATATACGTCAAACACGGTACCTCGCAAACGTATATATACGCCGCGACAGTCAAAGGGTTAAAAAAGTTATAAAAAACAAGTTATCACAACAACTTAGACCTATTCTATATGCTGATGACACGACTTTTGTCATCTCCCACCCTATTCTTGCCTTGCTCAACACTACTGTTAATGAAGAGCTTGTAAAAATATCAACCAGAATGACTCGATAAACTTACACTTAATATTGACAAAACATTCTACATTATGTATGAGAGTACAGCAGGAGAGGCCCAGCTTAACAGTATGCTTAACAACACCCCTATTATGCTAAACATAATGAGGGAAAATATCTGGGTTTGCACCTTGACAGCAACTTGAAATTCAACACCCATATCCAACACATAAAAATAATATCTAAAACAGTTGGCATCCTCTCAGAGATACATTACTATGTACCACAAACAGCATTATTTACACTATACTGTACTATTCAGTGATCTACCCTTACCTCACCTATGCTATTTGTGCCTGGAGATCCACAGCAGCAAATCACATAATGCAAATACACCTACCATCTGACTTACAACCGAGCTTGGTTCCGACCAACCGGTCGTAAGTCAAAATGGACGGAAGTTGAACTTTACTACTGAATATCAAAATTCCCATTTTTGTAATGGCTTTATTTTATGGTTTTATTTTGGAATTTCGTTTTTTACTTTACTTTTTATGCTGTTAGTACTGTATTTTATACTGTAAGGTTTAGGATAAACACTGTGTACAACACAAACAGTTGTTTATTTCCCAGAAATTTGGCATAAAAAACACGGTAGTAAGTCGAGTGGTCATATGTCGTGCAGGTCCTAAGTCGGATGGTAGGTATAATCACGCAACAAAAAGCTGCAGTGCAAATGATCACACAATCCACTGCTAGACAACATCCCCCCCCCAACAACTCTACAAAGACCTAAACCTACTCACCATACAAAACATTCACTCGTACTACTGTACAAACTACATTTATGGAACAATCAATACTAATATAAATCCCGACCTGAAGCGCTTTCTTGACAGTTGCAATAGGACCCATAGACATGCTACTAGGCATAAAAATCTCTGACACTCCCAGTGTCAGGCTAAATCTCGTCTAAAATTCAATGTACATCAAAGGTACCATAATATGGAACTCTCTGCCAGAAATCTCCAGAACCACTGACTTGGCTAGCATTTTCAAAACTACCATTAAAAAATGCCTTAACCTATCCCAGCCCATCATATATACATATGTAAAAACTATACATACATTTGCTCAATATCATGAAAATAGGTAAAACATTATACAGCCTCTCCTCACTTAACGACAGAGTTCCGTTCCCAAGACCACATCAGTAAACGAATTCATCACTAAATGAGGAGCATACTATAATGGAAGCGAGTATGTGTCAACCATCTGATATTATTTTAACATCACCTTTGCACCATTTATAACATTTCTGGTATACAGTGGAACCTCTACTTGCAAGTTTAATCCGTTCCATGACCTTGCTCGCAACTGGATTTGCTCGTTTGCAGAGTAAATTTTCCTCATTAAATTAACTGAAATGCAATTAATCCGTTCCAGTGAAATTTTGTACCTTAATAATTTCACTAATATCAACTCTATGGCTTATTTATCTATCTTACTTCATCTAATATGATATAAAAAACAATATAAATAACATAGGAACCTGATATATACTCTAGAATGAATAAAATATGTCATTATACATGTATATGTGGCATCGGCGGCAGACAACAAGTGTTTGTCTGAAGACAGGACAAAATACTCCTTGAATATTTCGCTACCATCAACTCTATGGCTTATCTATCACAGTTCATCTAACATGAAATAATAAACAGAATGAATAAAATGTGTCATTATGTAACAGGTGGAGGCGGCCACAACCGCTCCCTCTTTGTTGTGGTAAACACTGCCGTCTAGTGATGGCCTTTTGAAGCCGTCCATTATTATAATTATTATGTAATAGTACATTATTATTATAGTATATGTATTATTATTATACGTATTATATTATTATTACTGTATTACATTATTATACTATTATTATTATACATATTATTATTATAATATAAATACACTGTAATTTGTAATTTTTATTCACACAAAAAATATAAGATTTACTGTTATGCCTTATTGCAATAATTGTAAAAATAATGTCAACCCATTCATGATTGCATATTGGAATAAACAGTGATGTCATTTGTTTACTCTTGAACATAGCCAAAACAATCGAACATTTCTCCAAAGTTGAGCTCAATTTCAAGGTACTTTTTGTCGTGAAAGCAATCAAAATCACATCTATTTCTGTAATATATCTTCCATTCTATCAAATGAGACCAAAAAA